TCACTCACTCACTCTCTCTCTCTCTCACACACACACACACACCCCCCTCTGTATGTGTAGTGTTGGGTGGGTGAGGTGTGCAAGTGTGTTTTGAGTGGGCCGTCTCTTGTGACACACCTGTCGCCAACTCTGTTCCTTTTCCCTTGCATTCTACTACCCAGAACAGAAACAGTGTTTTTGCCTACCCTAGTGTACATCCCAACATGTTAGTTTGAAAATGTACAGAAAGTTGTTAGGCTTTTTTTAAAAACATGAACAAGAATTCAAATGTTTAAATTCCTGCAGCCAGAAGTGGCATATATGCAACATCAGTGATATCTGTGTAGTTTGCCTTCTCTTGCATTTTTATTGGATCAATTCAGAAAAGACAGGGATTCCCAAAACAGAGGTTACACAAATAGTTTGGAAGCACCCATAGTTATAGTAAGTAGGACTTGGGAAAATCTCAGTATCTAAACCCAGTAATCTAACACTTGTCCAAGGATAGACTTCCAAGACAGTATGTTTAAAATTTGAAATAAGATAGAGAAGGTCTTCACCAAAGCAGAAGCCCCAAAGAAATGAACTGGTGATAGCAAGGATGTATCATAGCGCTACAAGGATCACTGAGATATGTTTTGGGTACTTACAGGTGAGACTTCATGATGTTTTGCAGCTTTTGTTGCTCACGTAACTTGTGAGTAACTCTGTTGGGAGGTAAGAATGTCTATGACTATATAGAAATATGCACAATATGATTATGTAGCTGCTTATACATTAGCAATTAATGTACTAAAATAGTTCTGATTCAACTGAGAGATTTTTAAAGCCTAGCTACTATATTGTTGTGATATTTGTTAAGTGCTTAATGCTTGAAACACTACTAAGTTTTCATAGCTCAATTCTGAAATATAAAATTAAACTTTTAAAGTTACAGTTAAAGCTTTTTAGATATTCAGTAGATGAAATGCTGTCGCACATATATATATAGGCTTGTGTGTGCTTGTTAAATAAAGGAACAAAACAGAGATCCTTCTGGATATTCAGTTTGCCTACTTTGTATGGGGCAAGAAACTTAAAGGATATTCAGAAGAAGAGAGTGAATTGTACAGGGTGCAGAACACCGTCTATTTCTCTCTGAAATAAATGCTCACAGGGAAAATGTCCATTTTAATGAACAGTGCCGCCTGATTTTTCCTAGAGGTCTATAAAGGTTTGTAAGCCTCTTAGGGAAGATGTTAAAGTGTCAGTCTTTGTCAAGTCAGAAAATGTACGGGTCTCCAATTATTTGAGCCTCCAATTCTCATCAGCCCAGTGATGACAATCTGTGAAGGCTGCAGTCCAAAACTGGATGGCTGAATATCCCCTGCCACAGTATTTGAGGTTTTTGGAAGGTAGACTGTTGAGATAGAGAGACAACAAAGTTTAGCCTTAGATTTATCAGAAACAGTGGTGAAGAACCATTAAGAACATCAGAAGGCTGGTGCTGGAATCCAGTATTCTTTTTCTCATGTTGGCCTAGTAGATGCTACTAAGGAAAGCCGCAGACAGGGTATGAATGCAGTACTCCTTTGCTGCTTCTGTTCCCTGTTACCCAGTTCCATAGTGGTCTACCCAAAGAAGCACACATTGAGATAACTGAATTGGGCAACTGTTTTTGCTATTATTTTTGTATTAATTGGTGCCTACTGTTCTGATTTTAATAATTTTAAATCATCAGTGATTGTTTTATTGGAGCAATGTAACTCATATATAGGCACATCTATTTTATATAAAATAGTTGTACCTCTCTTTTCTCCCTTCCTGCATGAAAATAGCCCTTTCTCCGATTGCACAGTGTGTCCACCTTGATGGATCATGCTTCTTTTCTTCTTCCAAAGTGGATTGAACAGAGACTCTATTGTTCATTCCTTTTAAGTATCAGACTGTAACTCTTTATCCAAAGATTTTCTAGGGCAGTATCTTATGCTATTGTTATACTTCAGTCCTTGAAAGGAACAGAAATAATTCTTTACAGCTCCTTGGTAAGGTCAACATGCCAATATTGCTGTCAGAGTTCTTACTTTGGTATTAAATGAATTACTAGTTGCATCTCCTTGGGCCTTGGAAGTCAAAAGTAGGCAATGTGACATAAGGGCCCAGGTTCTGATGAGCCCAATAAGCTTCAAGTAAATCCTTTTCACAATGAACATGACAAGTTACCTTTCAAATTGTTGTGATCAGTAAGCCAACCACTGTGTAGTTAGGTGATTGTAAATGTGCAAGTTATAAGTAGGCCACGTGGGAGACTAGTGACAAAGAAAAGGTCAGCAGAAAGAGTAGCTGGCAACTGAGGGTAAAGCACCATCAGAATGTTGTCTATGCATAGGGCTTGCTCAGCTGCTTCCAACCTCAGTCCAGAAATCCATTGTTCATTATTGACAGCCAGGTCCGGTGGATCCTAGCCCAGTGTTCAATAGACGAGGATGGGTTAGCAGTTTGAAAATAGAGGATCTGAAACATGCTAGTCAAATTCCAAAGACATCTTTTGGATAGGCCAGTTGCTTCCTTCAGAACAGTTAATGGAGATGTGGGATCTTTTGGAAGGAAAGCTGAGAAACATATTGACCTGTTCTTCTTCGTGGCCTCTGTGAATGCACACAATTAGGTTGTTCTGTGCCTGCGCAGGACGTTTCGGAAGCTTCTAGAGCTTAAAACGTGATAATGAGATGTTCCCCTGTGGAGTGCATGCTCTGCCCCCCTTCAACATCCTCTCAGTTCTTTTTACTGCCGCTTCGGTAGGATGTACTTTGGAATGCTAGAGCGATAACGCAGCAAGTTACAGGTATTTCTTCGATCAGCTAATTTCTTATATATATTTCAATCATCTTTTTCTTTAACATTTCCCTGTGTTTATCACCTAAGTTGTCCCCCCATTCACAGTTTTCTCTTCTCTTCCCGCGTTTTTCTTCCCTCCATAATCGCCATTCCCCTCTTCTTCTCCTATTTTTATGCACCCCCCAGGGCCCTTCAAATGGTGCGTCCTTTGCACCAACAAAATACCACTCACAGACGGGCACGATTGCTGTTTATTCTGTCTAGGAAAGCAACATTAGACATGCCAAACTCTATCATAGTAGAATCTACCCAGTCAAGAGGGCGCAACAAATCATCTGTCATTCCTAGCAACAGAGAAGACCGAAAAACTGACATTCTTGGAAGAAGGCTCTATTCCCTCACTTCTTTTATCATGAGGGTAGCTAATTATCAAGCCGCCATGGGCACATATCATCGCCAACTCTGGGACAAAATCCTAACAATTATTCAATCAGCTCTGGATACTACCAAAACAGAAGCCTTCAATATACACACCAAGGCTTCCACTTTGGCCAAACAACAGAGAATAGCTGCCCATCACACAGCAGATGCAGCTTCTAAAGCGATGCCTACCTTGATTGCCCTGAGACATCATGCCTGGTTGAGATCTGCAGGCATCTCTGATGACACCAAAACAAGAATAGAAAACATTCCCTTTGATGCCACTGGCCTTTTCAATGCCAGAACCGATGAGGTCATGGAAAACCTCCATAAAATTCGCAAAACAGCACATTCCTATTCTGCCCAGCAACCCTACCGGTATCAGCGTCCTCAATATGGGAGACAACCTTTCTATCAGCAACAATTCCAATCCTACGAACAACCATATTGATCATTCTGACCACAAGCTCCTGATAGATTATACATGGCACCGTCTACATCTGCAGCCCCTTCCTTTCGGCCTCAACAACCACAAGCTCGTTGGTAGCCCTTTCAACGCCAACAAAATAAGGCCAAGCAGTACCCATAGATCTTTTCCCTCTCCATTCCAAACGAGACTCCATCCTTTCATCTCTACTTGGAAAAAAATCACCAATGACAACTGGGTCCTCTTTATTATTCAGAATGGTTACTTCATTGAGTTCTACCGTATCCCACCATCTGGCAATATTCAGACTACCACACACTCATTAGCCCTCTGTGAAGAAGTCTTCCTTCTTCTACAAAAGCAAGCCATACTCATAGTCCCTTCCTCTGCACCGCATAAAGGATTTTACTCCAGATATTTCACGGTCCCCAAAAAGGATGGAGGACTTTGTCCTATTCTTGATCTCAGGAACCTTAATAAGTTCATTTGACCCAGACGTTTTCGAATGCTAACTCTTGAAACTATCATCCCTCTCCT